TAAACTGACGACCTTCACTAACACAGAACCACTGAGTTAATGGTGTCTCTGTGTTAAATTAAATTAAAGCAAATATCCCTTGTACCTCATATTCAGGCTTGACACAGACAAAAGGCAAGAAGCGTTGCTTGAAATTGTGAAGGATAATAAAATAATGCTCCGACGTTTATCACAATGCACACCATACTACAGTGTACAGGTGTGGAACGAACAGTGGATAAAAACCCTTGATCTTATGAAGAGCATTGGGCGATTCCCACCATTAAGCCATGCTCAGGTGAGCTATGAAGTACCATCTGTCAGTCATCACCTGAAGATGTTATCATTACGTTTCTACAGTAGGATGTTTTAAATCATTTCCATTCCAAATGCAGATCATGCACTAGTTGTTTTCTCTGCTCTTTACAGCCACCTGTAGATGTTTTGCCGCAGAAGACCATGGTGTTGTCTAAAGGAAAAGCATAAGAAGAACAGATGAGATGAATTTCTACACAGTGAAAAGGACATGACAATGGAAAGCGAAGAAAAAGACAAGAACATGCAGAAAGAATCTGAGGCACAAGTTCAAAAATTGACCAATACTTTCAATTTTACTTTCAGATAATCAGCTTTATATGAATGATTTTCCATAGTAGAAGTATTGTCTAAAGCTAAAATCATTGTATTTAACAGACTACGTTACAGAAACTACAATCACTGAACATGAACTGATTACATGTAATATAATGATTATTAGCCTGTAGTTTATGAGCGCACCAGTGTTACCCTCTAGGCTTAGTTGAATATTAGGGAGGTTGAATTGAATATTTGTAGACTGCAAACATACTGTACGTTCATTCATGAGCTCATGTCTTACAATAATACAACCAAAGTTTGCTTAAGTGTTAATACTCGCCCTTATGAAGAATCTTCAGTTTGATAAATATGAATGAGTGAGTGAGTTACAAGGCCAAGTCCATGAGGTTGTTTGCATCTAAAATGACCTAACTGAAGCATGTTAATTTGATGAGATGTTACTTTAAGCTGTAATCATTAAGGAAATTCATAACATATTTTCCAAGCGACTTGAACAAGGGCGACAAAATGGTGGCTGGAAGACAAGCATTCAGTTTACTGAAGATGTGTGAATACTTTACTTGAATATGTAAGCATATACAGTCAGGTCCATAAATATTTGGACATTGACAAAGTTATTGTTATTTTAGATGTCTACAACTGTATATTGGAGTTGAAATTAAATAATGAATATGACATCAATGTGTCTCAATATGACCTCAAAGTGTCTTCAGGTTTGACCACATATAAAAAGTGCTGTACTTTCTACACCATTCACCTGATTTAAATGTAAATATCTTCAAATTAAAGCTGAAAATCTGCAGTTTGAGCTCATATTAATTATTAAATTTCAACTCCAATATACAGTGCTGGACAGCTAAAATAACAATAAAGTTGCCTATGTCCAAATATTAATGAACCTGACTGTATAACCCTGATATTTGAACATGTCACTGTACCTGTTGATGATTTACCTACTATGGAAGAATCATGCTGCATCTGAATTTTAATATTTGTTTGTGCTGCTGCCTTAGCCTTTGCTACAGTCATAAAGAAGCATAAAGATTTTAATGCCTGGAATACAGTACTAAAACTCTTTATAGATTTGCAATGATCCATGATACAGAGTTACTGAGCTCCCAAAATCCAGTGATCCACCCTCACATATCAGTACTACTATAAATATAAATGTAGTGCCTATAGCATTTTGGACAACTTACACATTATATATTGTAATTAATTATAGGTTATTTAACTTAGGGTACTGGAAATAATCCTGTGAAATGTGAGGGTTAGTTATATGGCTAGTCATATATTAACAAACTGTAAATTCAACATACTGTTGAGTAATTCAACCTTTTCAGTGACTAAGAGTAATACTGTTCTGTAATTATTTTAATAATATGAAGTATGTACTCTGTTGACTTTGGTAATATTTAAAGAAAACAAATAAATGCTCACTCACACTAGCAACATACTTGTCAGCAAAAATTGCAATAAAAATTAAGAAGCATGTTAATGTTAATCAATGGAATTTGCTGCTGTGAGACTTCTGGTGCAAATTTTGCAAGCAAAACTTCACAATTAGCCTGAACTTTGAATTTTGCTGAATAATAGCACCTGCACTGACCTTTGACATATTCATATTGCAGTAGTTAACATATGAGCACTAATTTTAGCATTGTGTAAACATGACATATATTAGACTAGGATACATAACACTTCATTTGTGTGTGCATGTGTGTGTTGTTTTTTATTAATATTTTTTACAGCTCAATAAGAAAACCTTAGGTAGAATTGATTTAGTAAGCTGGAGGAGTTAATTTTTCATCATGAAGCTAAAATAGAAACTTGTAAAACTATTTATATACTACAGTTATTTTTTGTTATTTTGGTGATGAGTTTTCAAGTATTCAGGCAAAATAGGAGCGATATTTTTAGATGTATGCTGTGGGGATGTTGGTATTTTGATTTATTCTTATGATTTATGAGGAAAGATAATTAAAGTTAATCTGAATCCTCTTGGTCATTTGTTCAACTTCTTTCATTTGTTCGTGTCTCTCCAGCTATAGTTTAGACTAACCACCCAGCTGTAGCATTTTAAGTTTAGTTTACTAGACAAGATTTCAGTTTCCCCATTTGGCCCTGTAATGAAATGTAACTGTTCATTGACACAAAATAAATATATACCAAGAGATGTTACATAATATCAGTAAGTACAAGAGATAACACTAATGTCATATACTACAATATTATCATAAATCAGACTACAGATCCTGCTCTGATGCACTGAAATCAGAGAGCATGGTTTTATGAGGTTATCTGCATATTCCTAATTAGTAATAACCACCAGAGGTCAGTTTGAAAGTGAACAGTTTCTGCTGCCCCTAATTGCAGTTCAGTAAAGTTTTTGTCCACAGCAGTTTTAAAGCTAAAACTATTCGGACATTATGGTTGTCAGATTATGCTATATGTTATGTTATCAATTATATCAATTTATATCATTATGTTTATGTTATCAAGCTATGGATTTTGTGTCAATTTCACCAACACATATAAAGTGGTCACAGAAAATCTAGGTAAAACTAATACTAGGCATTATTTTTAACATATATTTAATTTACATGTTTTGTAAATTTAACATACAAAACATCCTCAACATGATTGCCATTTCTTTGTAAAAACACACAGAGTCATGTATCCCAACTTTGGCTCCCAGTTTGGCAACAGTGTTGTGTGTGATGTGCTTGCAATGTTTCCTGTTAAAGTCCATCGCAACCTTGCAACAGCTTCCCGATCCAGCCAAGAGAATGATTTCAGTACGTTCTTCTTTTGTCAAAGGCATTCTTAAAGGCTATCTAGAAGAAAAAAATATATATATATGTATATGTAGTGAGAATGACAAGAGTTTTTGTTTGTTCAGTAACAAATGTAGTCGACATTGAGGTGGAAGCACAAACTCAAGGTGAAACTCTATCGATTGCCTTGAGAGTCTGTCAGATTAGCTTTGTTCAGATTGTGAAGCATTGTTACTCACTGTGGTTGCAGTTTATTTGCTGTCTAAACTCAATTGCATTTTAAGATTTTTGTTGTTGTTCCACTGAAGTTCACAGTTTTTCTATAACACTTCTAATAAATGCTGTTCGACTCATTGTCTACGTTTACATGCACATCAATATTCTGACATTAATCGGAATTTGGCAATATTCTAATTAGTATTGAGTCATGTAAACACTGCAATCTGATTGCCCTTAAGACAATATCCTGATTCCCCAAATTCCGATTCCCACCCCTGGAATATGCCTGTTTTAATCAGAAGTCCCATGTAAACACCTTATTCAGAAATTCCACCGAAAGGAGATATATGCACATGCTCAGACCACAAGGAATTGTGGGTGCTAACAGATGCTTAGCTGTAGGCTAGGTATTTAGGAATGGAAACTCAGGCATACTTACAACAACCATGTATACAGGAATATTCCCTACTAAGGCCAAACCTGGAAAGTCTGAAAAGGGCCCATTGTCAGGATGGCTCATTGCAGAGAACATATTATTATTATTATTATTATTATTATTATTATTATTATTATTATTACTTTTTTCCATTTTAACAAAAAAAATCCAAAGTACTGTAGCTTAATCAACAAGCTCACCTTTATTATATATATTAAAAAAAAAGTATGCTTTGTGTACATGGCAAGTTCGATTGCTCAAATAGATGAGTAATGTCTTGTCTCGTGATAAAAACAATGATCGAGCGCTGTGTGATCGATTACTTCCGTCTACTCAGATGAGACTCCCTTTTCTGGCTTGCTAGCGGGCTAACACAACTGGTCATGTGAAGTGGATTAAAATGCTGTATTGTGTCAAGCAAGGACGAGTGTTTTATCTTAGTTCAGATGGTATAGTTATGCTGTAGAAAACAACAACAAAACAGGTAAGCGGAGGTTATTTTTGTTCACACTTGGCTAGTAATATTCGCGGTGATCTGATTTGAGCTGGAAGGCGGCTAGCAGGCAGGTTACAGTGATGGGTCGCTTGTGTTTGTTATAACCGGAAGGTTGATATTATCAGTCAGGTGGTTAAGGTCTCTGGGGAAACGCAGTTGAATTATATTCATCCTAGCTAGCTAGATAACCGGGTGAAAAACACTGTAAGGTTATCTAGATAGCTACAGAGAATGGAAATTATCTAATGGGCATGTCTGTGTTTAGTAGCATCCATGGTTTTGCCAGTTTATAGTCAATGTTAGTGTGTGTGTGTGAGAGAGAGAGAGAGAGAGAGATGACTGTCCCAATAACAGCGATATCCAGCAGAAAGAATGTCGTGTAGATTCATAGCTGCTTCTGCATGACTGCTTACATAAGATAGCTGATTTAGCAGGCTAGCAGTGTAACACCTGAAGCATGAGAAGTTTATAATATAAGCCAGGAGGGATAAAGTAAGGCAGTGGTAGCACAGTGGTTAAGACGTTGGACTACTGTTCAGAGGGTCGTGAGTTCAAATCCCACCACTGTTAATCTGCCTCTGCTTAATCCTCAACTGGCTAAATTGAGATACATTTAATCTAATAATGGAATAATAACCGCGGGATGAAGCGCTGTGTGAAGCAGAGCTGTGATGCCTGCATGATGAGCTGCTCATCACATGACCTGGTGAGCTGTGTGAAAGCAGTGCTGTACTTTGTGCTGATCTGGAACTGGAGTCACTCCATGCTGATGTTTCAATCTTATTCTCGGGCTTTTCTTTGAAATTATCTGTTACTATGACCTGTTCACTGCGACCTAGCTCAGTGGCCTTTAGTAAGCGGTAAGATTTCGTTTCAGTCGCCAAGACATGCTTTGCAGTTTGTGTGCATTTTAGCCATTTTAGCTGTTTTAGCTGTTTTGCTGTGGCAGTAGGGAAACCGGAAGCGAGGCGTTATTTGATTGGTGATTTGACGTGTGAAGTGGGAAAAAGGGCAGACAACCTGTTATCCGAGCTCAGTTTTGACATTAGGTATATACAACCACATTTCAAAGCACATATTTATATACTGTCAGTCCTATATCTGCGTTTAATGATGCACACCGGAAGTTGAACTCTGCTGAAAGTCGTCGTACAAACCTGTCTCTGTCTGTGAAGAAAGTGTTTACAATATTTTAGTGTGTTTGTATACGGATTTAAACACATCATGTTCTTCTTCTTCTTCAGCTTCAGCCAAGTTCACATCTTCCTAACGGTATAGTTTTTCCGTTTAATCTGGAGTTAGTGAGGAAAACAGTAGAAACTCCTCATAGAATCTGTAATGGTTTTAATGGTTATAATGGTTACAGTGGGAGGGAGTAGAGTGGCTTAGTGGTTAGCACGTTTGCCCCCCACTTCTAGGATTCAGGGTTCGATTCCCACCTCCGCCGTATGTGCAGTGCTTGTGTGTTGTGTTTTGGGGGTTTCCTCCAGGTTCTCCAGTTTCCTTCCCAGTCCAAAGACATGCGACTGGGATAGGCTCCAGGTTTCCCCCAGCCCTGTGTAGGATAAGCAGTACAGAGAATGGGAATTGTATTGGTTTTAATGGACACTGTAACAGTCCCTGTGGGTCTCTACTGCTAATTTGTTGCCTTCTGTTGGTGGCATGTTATGTCTAGTGGATACCATTAAGGACCAATAATGGTTTTAATGGTTAGCTGATGGTTTGTAATGGTATTTGTAATGGAAACCATTAGAATTTCTGTGATGTTTCTGTTGTTGTTTTTTTTCAGCAGGGGTGTTAGTGTTTATACCTGTGTCTTCTTCTGTCTTCTGCTCTCTATTCGCACTGATGTGAGAGAGGTTTTCCTCTTTTAAAATCCTGAAAGAATGTTTAATCTTGTGTCTCTCAAAGAGGAAACCAATCCATCAACTCCTATCAGTATTATTTACCCCATTATTATTAGGTAGTATAACTATAAGTCATTTATAGGGAATGAGAATGGGTTTAAAATGATGCCAGGTACACTGATGTCATGTCATTTCTGAAATAAAGTCACGCAACATTTTATACACAAGGAGTGTATATGATGTTAATTGGAATACTGCGATTTTATTGAAATGAGTCCTGGGCAAAAAAAAAAATAAAAAATGGGCAAAGCCCAAAATGGCAAAATATTAAGCTTTTAATGGTCTTAACAACAAATCATTGGTCAGGAAATTAGCAAGAATTAAACAAATAGATAAAGGAACTTAGTTTGGGATAGCTTTTCCCTTTGATTTCTTTAAATGTGGTGTGGCAGATAACCAAATAATGATAATCTTTTAAGAAAAAAAACCTGTCAGAAAATATTTTTGGAAAATTTTGCACACCCAGACATGTGTTAGTTTGAATTTTACATTTTAATCATCATGATTTTACCTTTGTGTACAAGAAGACTGTATAAGTGAATTTCCCTGTTTCTAGCTTTTCCCCAAACAGTTCACTGCAGCAGAAGTAAACGAGCAAATGGTGGCACAGGAGGTCTCAGGAGTGCATCTGTTTAATTTTTACTCATTTTCTGGCCAATGATTTGTTGTTAAGACCATTACAAGCTTAATATTTTCCATTTTGGGCTTTTTGCCCAGGAGTGTGCATGTCAACAACTGCTTTGAATTCTGAGTTATTAGAAGCTGTAATGCCTCCAAAAAAATATGATGGTACCAATTTTCCTCAGGTGCTTAATATCTGATTGCTTGTATTATGCTGATAAAATTAGTCTGTGCAGAAATCAGGACTTCTGTGAGATTTTTTTTTATTGCCTTGACTTCCTGGTTGACAAAAGATACATCCGTATGCATCACACTTTACATAACTTTTTTTTCTCCTTTCTTTTTTGTAGCATGACGAATGATATACAGAGCACATGACTAGGGCTGGTTATGTCTATGGGCTGTTCTTCACACAGGCTTCAGCGGAAAAATAATCCTTGGTCTAGGAAAGCTTTTCTCATTTCTCATGAATTTTCACACATAAAGGCTACAGGTGTACTAGGTGTGGTTTTGTGCTTTCTGTTGGGGGTTTTGTATAGCATGCATATTTCTTCTGAAAAAAAAACAATAAATACATACATATTTAGAAAATTGATGTTATCTATAAAGTGACAGAACAAGCTAAACAACAAAAACACAGTACAAGGTTATTGAACTAGTTTATAAAAACTTGACATGTGGTACTTGCTGACATTCTCTCTCACTGAGAGCTTGATGTTTTTGTCTACATGAAGATGTGATGCAACATCCATCATCCGGTTTGAATGAGTTAGAGGTTTTGTTCCTTTCCAGTTAAATGATCTCAGCCTGCATGGTAGACAGTGTAACAGATGTGATAATGTAATGTTGATTGATTGACAGCACAGTGTTAAGGGTTTTATCTGCAAAAATAGCTCGGTCTGGGTCAAGGACTTTGTGCTATATGTCAAGTTAAGTATTTAAACCTGGAACTTAATAAAGAGGCAAGTGGGAACAAGTCTTTATGAGACAAGAGAGGGACTCAGGCACTCTGTTCCTTTTTTTAAGAGAACCCGTGGTCCAATGTAAAACGCAAAAGCCTGACACAGGCTTCACATGACGTGGTTTATTGCCCAGCAGAAGTTACAGTCTCTTATGTTATTACGTCTTACAGGGGCAGTGATATGGCTGCTGACGACAAGTCCACGTCGTCCTCGTCCACGCTGGACTGGAACTCCGAGCCGCCCCTGTCTCCCCCCAGCCCCTCTCGCCTGACTCACTTCAAACCGCTCACTCCGGATCAGGATGAGCCCCCGCTGCGTTCGGCCTACAGCTCCTTAGTCAGCCTCTTCCGCTTCAACAAAGGTGCCTGATAGTGGTTTTTATAAACCTTCCTGGGAACCTTTGCCCTTTCTAATAGCTGGATCAGACACTTTCAAATACTAACTTTGCTCTTTAAGGGACTGCACCGTATCCAGAGTTAACAGTTTAGTTTTATGTATGACTGTGTGATAACCATGAGGTGTGACAATGTAGATTTTGCTTTGTTATGCATTCAGCTATAGAGTCTTTTCACAAGTGTATCCAAGATCAGGGACTTCTTAACACTTGGATAATAACAGGGACATTTGCCAAGAGTTTGAAGTCATGTGATGTAGGTGGAGCAGTGCCATGAACACAGTGGGAATTTCATAGACATAGTCATGCGGTTCTCCAGCCTCATTTTAACCAGCTTTCTTTCTTCCTCTTAGCGAGTAATATTAGAACAGAGCTGGAAAAGGGCCTGTCTGGTCAAAACAATGTTGACGATTATGAATTTCTTGGCAAGGGTTTATGGAACACTTGTAGAAGGGATCTGATAAAAAGTATTATTTAAAGAACTGAAGAATAAACTAGTTAGCTATGGTTAACTGGAAAGAGTAAAGTTTGTAAATCACAGTATTTTATATAATTACATCAACATTTACTGATTATTTACAAGAAAACAAGAAAACAAATTTAAACCAGGACGAAATGTAATTACACAGTGATTTAATATCTAATTTCTGCCTTTTATTCTTTTTAGAAAAGTCAGGTGCAAACATTGCACCAGCAAAAAAGCTTGGTAAGTCTGGCCCTTGTTATACAAAAAATATAAGCACAGCTAGGAACTGTTTAAAAAAAAAAAATCACCATTCAGGGGAAAGCAGATTGGCAGCGGTGGGTGCGATAACACTGAAACAGCTAACCATCCCTTCATCATAGTGATGTGTTTCTGTGGCCGGGGCTGAATTTCAGTCTTTTTGCTTTCCTACTGGTGTGCACACAGAGGAAGGTCGGCCTCCTTCGGCAGCTGAGAAACCTGAGTCTGCTGCACCATCACCACAGGGGGAGCGCCGGAGCTGGGCCAGCTCCTCACTGTCCACACATGGCTCTGGGACACACAGGAAACACTCAGAGCTGGTCAGGAGAACCTCGACGGCATCAGGTAAATCACACGCGTCTACATATTGCTAATCCGCTTTGAATTAGTCATAATGGTGCGGTTACCATCATTCAGTCACTCGACTAACTTGACCTGCAGTATTTATATTGATATTTTAATATTTGGATTTGTTTAATGTTGATTTAAAATGGTAATCGTATTTTTGTATAATGCATTTGTCTGGGATTATCTTAGCTGGATATAGCATGAGTAAGAACTGGAAATTGGTCATTTCTAAAGTTTTGTGTTTTTTTATTTTTTTTATTAAGAAACTCAGACTAAAAGGTTAGAAACAGTAATAAAGGTAAATCCTCCTTTGATTCGTGTCTCATGTGACCTGACTAACTGCTACAATCCTGTTGCTGAATCTGCTGGATCCTTTATGGATCTTGTGCATGCTCAGCTTCTTCTTGCACCCTCTTTTTGTGGTATTCTTCCATGGAAAGCTGAGACAGTCATGGACAAAGTAAGACACCACTGGAGGAGGAGTATGAATGAAATATATCAGAAATGATCAGTACAGTAACTGTACAACACAGTATCACAGGTTTTAGTACATCAGGATATATAACTTCAGATTTTCAAAGAGAACACCATTAAAAACTATGTGGCAGTGCAAG